TATGGAGAACAGTATGGAGATTTCTTAAAAAACTGGAAATAGAACTTCCATATGACCCAGCAATCCCACTTCTGGGCATACACACCAAGGAAACCACATCTGAAAGAGACACGTGCACCCCAATGTTCATCGCAGCACTGATTATAATAGCCAGGACATGGAAGCAACCTAGATGCCCATCAGCAGACGAATGGATAAGGAAGCTGTGGTACATATACACCATGGAATATTACTCAGCCATTAAAAAGAATTCATTTGAATCAGTTCTAATGAGATGGATGAAACTGGAGCCCATTATACAGAACGAAGTAAGCCAGAAAGATAAAGACCATTACAGTATACTGATGCATATATATGGAATTTAGAAAGATGGTAACGATAACCCTATATGCAAGACAGAAAAAGAAATACAGATGTATAGAACAGACTTGTGGACTCTGTGGGAGAAGGCGAGGGTGGGATGTTTCAAGAGAACAGCATCGAAACATGTATGTTATCTAGGGTGAAACAGATCACCAGCCCAGGTTGGGTGCATGAGACAAGTACCCGGGCCTGGTGCACTGGGAAGACCCAGAGGAATCGGGTGGAGAGGGAGGTGGGAGGGGGGATCGGGATGGGGAACACATGTAAATCCATGGCTGATTCATGTCAATGTATGACAAAAACCACTACAATATTGTAAAGTAATTAGCCTCCAACTAATAAAAATAAATGGGGGGGGGGGAATCTACTAAGCTCTCAAATAGCTGAGCAACATATTAACTTAGAGAACAGCAGAGGCAGAATTTCAGGCACACCCCACTCATTCCATCAAATAAATATGTACCAAACCTGCTTTGTACCAGCCACTGTTTCAAGTTCTAGGAGTATAGCAGAGAATAAAACTGATGAAAATCTAAAAAAAAAAAAACTGATGAAAATCTGTGCCTTTGTGGTACTCATGTTCTTGTGGAGTGTGGCAGAACAATAAAAATTAATGAACTAATGTTACACATATCAACCTGAATGCATCTCATAAACATAATGTTGTGGAGGGAAACATTTTATCAGAAAACATAGATTGAAGGCAAAAGGAAGAAGGGGGTGCCAGAGGATGAGATGGTTAGATAGCACAATCAACTCAATCAATATGAATTTGAGCAAACTCTGGAAGATAGTGAAGGTCAGGGAAGTCTGGCATGCTGCAGTCCATGGGGTCACAAAGAGTCAGATACGACTTACTGACTGAACAACAACAAATACCATAAAAGACAAATTTTACAAAAAATTTTAAATGAGAAAAATAACATTATTCATATTGCTTAAGGTATATTGCATAAGTAGGCAAGGAGTTCATGCTTCCACACCTGGGAAGCGGGAGAAGAACATCAATTTGTAGCATTTGCTGATTTCCATAATAGGACCAGCTCACAATATCCCAGAAATGTTAACAACCAACCCTTGTAAGCCTATGTGAGCACCCTCCAGCGCCCCGCTGCTGTATGAGTTAGCCCTACTTAAAAGTACAGATGATTCCTTCTTAGTAACAGAAGCGAAGAATCATAGCAGGTATGAAGGGTGAGCAGCTGCGATAATGAAAAACTCTTGTTTTCCTAGGACATAGGGAGCAAGTGAGTTTAAGAAGCAGCAGTTTTGAATTTCAAAAGAAAGGAGGAAGCAGGGGCAAGAGGGTGACCCAAGAGGCTCCTGAACTTCCCTCCTCCTGTGGATACACCTGACACACAGCTCCACGCAGAGCAATTCCCTCTGGGAGAAATCCAGAAACTAGCTGAGTGACACCTGCACGTCAGACCGTGAGAAAACACATCAAAATGAGGAGGAAAAGCTGAGACACACTCTCACCATAAACCCCTACCCTGGCGCAGCACCACACTATTGGGACAGAATCCCCAGCTCCATTTCATTAAGACTGGTTCTCCCTGAATACCAAAGAGTTTGGATCACACATGTAGTGCCCCAACTTTTTTTTTTTTTCTCATGAAATTCTTTTTTTTTTTTCATTTATTTTTATTAGTTGGAGGCTAATTACTTTACAATATTGTAGTGGTTTTTGTCATACATTGACATGAATCAGCCATGGATTTACATGTGTTCCCCATCCCAATCCCCCCTCCCACCTCCCTCTCCACCCGATTCCTCTGGGTCTTCCCAGTGCACCAGGCCCGAGCACTTGTCTCATGCACCCAACCTGGGCTGGTGATCTGTTTCACCCTAGATAATATACATGTTTCGATGCTGTTCTCTTGAAACATCCCACCCTCGCCTTCTCCCAGAGTCCACAAGTCTGTTCTATACATCTGAGTCTCTTTTTCTGTTTTGCATATAGGGTTATCGTTACCATCTTTCTAAATTCCATATATATGTGTTAGTATACTGTAATGGTCTTTATCTTTCTGGCTTACTTCGTTCTGTATAATGGGCTCCAGTTTCATCCATCTCATTAGAACTGATTCAAATGAATTCTTTTTAATGGCTGAGTAATATTCCATGGTGTATATGTACCACAGCTTCTTTATCCATTCGTCTGCTGATGGGCATCTAGGTTGCTTCCATGTCCTGGCTATTATAAACAGTGCTGCGATGAACATTGGGGTGCACGTGTCTCTTTCAGATCTAGTTTCCTCGGTGTGTATGCCCAGAAGTGGGATTGCTGGGTCATATGTGCCCCAACTTTTAAGGCTTCTATAAGGGGGACAGGCCCCAAGTGACTTAGCTCTGACAGTCAAAGGAACTTGAATTCAAAGCACCACAAGACTACAGCAGACAGAAGCAGTTTTTAAACAGGTGCAGGAGTCTCCTCCCCCCCCCCCCCCGCCCCCGTCGCCACCCCCTGCAGCTAATACACCCAGGCTCAGCGCAGAGGGAACAGGCAAAAATGCCTCTCCCTCAGTTTCTTCTTGGAAGGGGTTTAACTCTTTTCACAGCTGCTGCCTGGGGGCCCAGCTTCTAATTAGCCTGCATCCAGGAGTTAACTGTCATCCTTCCCTTTGGGACACTCTCAGGTCTTGACACGCCCTTAACTATTGGGAACCACTAAGAAAAAAAACGGCGGCTTGGACAATCACAAAGGTTTGAGAAGTAACCAGGAGCTCAGGCCAGGCTGATTGGACACATAGAATGAGAGCGAAGGGATGGAAAAAGGCATTTATTCCATGCAAATGGAAATCAAAAGCAAACAGGGATAGCTAAAATTTAAAACAGACTTTAAATCAAAAACTAAAAGAAAAGCTGAATAAGACCATTGTACAATAATAGGGGTCGAACCCTCAAAAAGAAGCAATTGAAAATATTTATGCATCTAATATCAGAACACCTAAATATATAAAACAAACATTAACAGACCTGAAGGATGAGACAGACATCAACACAATAATAGTAGGAGACTTCAATACTCCCTGGAGAAGAAAATGGGAACCCACTCCAGTATTCTTGCCTGGAAAATCCCATGGATGGAGGAGCCTGGCGGGCCATGGGATCGCCAAGAGTCGGACACGACTGAGTGACTTCACTTCACTTCAGTACTCCACCTTCCACAATGGATAGATCATTCAGACAGAAAACCAAAAAGGAAACATTGGATTTAAACCACAACTCTGTTTCTGCAAAGAAGCAGAAAACAAAGACCCGCAGACTGAACTCCTCCCAGATAGAATTTCCCACCAGGGAGAGCCAGTCATCTGAACTGCAGCAAAAGACACTCTCTGTGGTCAATTGCAAGCACAGCTCTACCATCCTGTCCGTGATGAAATTGTTATGGTTTTCTTAAATCAGCATTTGTTAAGAACCACAGCCCTTGTGAGCTGTGGTTCAACAAAAGAAAAACTGAGGCAGAGAAGTTTATTACTCACAGGTCCTTGGGAGGCCACATGTTTTCTGCTTCTTCATGCTTCAGCATACTGCCTAGGTGGAGGGTACCGCTGCTTCCCATCCCAGAGTGTAAACTCCAAAAGAAGCAACTAGAGTCTTCCCAAACCTCAAAACATTACTCACTGGAGCTGGTTTATTTTTTTTTTTTTGCAGACATTGTGACTTTTTATTTCAAAGTAATTTAGTATGCATTTCATAGTAAGAGCATTCTTCAGCATACCCACAATACCATATTACAACCAACAAAATTACAGATTCTCTGATAACTAGCATCTTTTCCATTTTAATTTCCTCCCTAATTGCTCCAGAAGTGTTTATGGTTTTTTTGTTGAACCAAGACTGAGTCAGTATATATGCATTACATTTGGTTGTTGTATCTCTTTAGTTTTTTGCAGGCTAGAATAATCCCTTCACATCCCCACCCACACCCACCCAAACTATGTTACATTTGACATTTTGAGCAGACCAGTTGCTTATAAAATGTTACAAATTCTGGATTTGTTTAATAGCCTAATTTTTAAAATGTCATTATTAGAGTAAAAATGTTCTAGAATGTTCATGGCAATTTAACTCTGGGAGATATTTTTATTATTTTTTCTTTATCCACTCTTTCTACTTCTGCTTGTTTCACAACAAACTAACTTAGAAAAAGTCTACTTGTGGGGAAAAGCAAACCCAGGCTAGGCAGAATAATGCTGACAGAGAAGAAATACAGATATGAAACCCTTGAAAGAGGTTGATGATTATGGAGAATGTAAAAGAATACTACTGAAGAGGTTTTCATCTCATGGTTCATGCCTTTACCAAATCTTTTCAGCTGTACTGTCTGTTTTTTGTGTGTATGTCCATTAAATACTATAGTGCTATCCTGACCTTGCCTTAAAATAATGCAAACATCAAAACAATTGCTTTAAATACATCATAGCTTTAAAATTGCTTGGAGAGTGAAGCTGGCTTTGCCACGGAAATGCCCATGAAACAGAACACATCTTGTCTCCACAGTGGAAAGAGGTCAGAAAATCAGTGAGCACATTGTCATTGGCACCCCGGGGACCGTTCTGGACTGGTGCTCCAAGCTCAAGTTCATCGACCCCAAGAAGATCAAGGTGTTTGTCCTCGACGAGGCTGACGTGATGATAGCCACTCAGGGCCACCAAGACCAGAGCATCCGCATCCAGAGGTAGGCCCGGCGCCCGGAGGGGCTTCTGGGCTGCCGACCCGCAGCTCCTGCTCCTGTTACCTCACACTCCCCTTCTTGCCCCTGCCAGGCTCCTCGCAGCTCTCAGGGGCCTTTGTGTGATGGGCCATTTCTGTGTCAGCACTGAGCGCGCCCTCCGCCCGGCTTAAGGAGGGAGACTCAGAGACTCTTGGTCACCCGTCCCTGCCCCACGGCTGCTCCCCCTTCCTCCCCAGAGCTGCTCCCCGCTGCCCCTTCCTGGGGATGCAGGTCATCAGGCCTGGGGAGGCTGTGCCCCGGTCCTTCCAGGGAAAGCCCGGGTCAGGGTCATGCCGGACAGCTGGGCCTCCCCTTGCAGGATGCTGCCCAGGAACTGCCAGATGCTGCTTTTCTCTGCCACCTTTGAAGACTCTGTCTGGAAATTTGCCCAGAAAGTGGTCCCCGACCCGAACATCATCAAACTGAAGCGTGAGGAGGAGACACTGGACACCATCAAGCAGTATTACGTCCTGTGCAACAGCAGAGACGAGAAGTTCCAGGCCTTGTGTAATATCTACGGGGCCATCACCATTGCTCAAGCCATGATCTTCTGCCATGTGAGCAGCAGCAGCAGGCGGCGGCGGTGTCCCGTGGGGGTGGGGGCCCCTGGAGGACGTGGCCCCGCTGCTCCCACTCAGCCAGCTGCACTTAGTGCTAGGGACCGTGTTAACTGCCTGTGGCTGCAAAGGAGATAAATCGGTCCCAGGACATAGTCTCTCAGGCTGTAATGAGTTGTAAGGGGAAGACTGAAGAGCTAAACCTTCTCCAGTCCCTACGTCTCAGAGATTACTTGGGGGGAAAAAATTCCAAATAACTTCCAAGTAAATAATTTTGAAGCATTAAGAATGTAGATTATTTCAGAATGAAGACCTTTGGCTCAAACCACAATAACACTGAGATCATTGATGTAATTTATCCCCCAAAAATCATGTGGCTAAAAAGTATTCAGAAACTTTAAGCCCATCTTGCTGACTGAACTCAGTAGAGCGTTCGTGTGTGTTAACAGCAAAAAAAAAAAAAAGCCACTTTTCTGCAGGTGTCTTCATTTAAAACAATTCTTTTCACTCCAGACCCGCAAAACAGCTAGCTGGCTGGCCGCAGAGCTCTCGAAAGAAGGCCACCAGGTGGCCCTGCTGAGTGGGGAGATGGTGGTGGAGCAGAGGGCTGCGGTGATTGAGCGCTTCCGGGAGGGCAAAGAGAAGGTTCTGGTCACCACCAACGTGTGTGCCCGCGGTGAGCGGAGACCGGGTCCTGGCCCGCCAGGCTCGGGGCGGCAGGGAGAGCTTCGTGTGTGGGAGGCTGCGGTGGTTTGGGGGAGATGCTGTTTTGTGGGCGAGCCTGTGGGGCTCCTCAGCCGAGGAGACCGTCCACAGAAGCCGGGAGTGCTGGCTGGTGGCCGAGGACGGCGCCTGCTCTTCTTGGCCCCAGTGCGGCGTCAGCTCCTTCTCCAGATCCTGGCATCCAGCAGAGGCTCTCTGGCTGATGCCGGAATTTGGCCAGCACCGGGACGGTCCCGTCCTCTCCCTCTGGGTTCTGCCACCTGCCCGTGTCCCAACCCCAGAGCTGGCCTGTCCCAGACCCTGCCTTCCGCCTGAGCTGGGTGAGGGTGGGCCTGACCGGGCAGCGGCGACTTCTGTCTCCCGTGCTCACTCGTGTCCAACCCTCCCGCACGCAGGGATCGATGTGGAACAGGTGTCTGTCATCATCAACTTTGACCTCCCCGTGGACAAGGACGGGAACCCGGACAACGAGACCTACCTGCACCGGATCGGGCGCACCGGCCGCTTTGGCAAGCGGGGCCTGGCCGTGAACATGGTGGACAGCAAGCACAGCATGAACATCGGATTTTAAGGCACGACGAGGCCGCTCCTGAGGCAGTCAGCGGAAAAGGCGAGCTGGCGCAGTGGAGCTGGTTTAAAGTGCATCAGATGTGTTTTCCTCCTATTAATGCCCCACGGTGGGTAAACTTCCCCAGTGGGTATTAGATTGAGGGTATAATTCCTGACTGTATGCACAGACACAACTGCTGTCAGGAGAATTGGTTAAGATTTTCACAAGGTCACATTGTATTAATGGCAACTCCAGGTCAAGTGTGAGCTCCTCGAAGTGTGGGGCAGTGACCTTAGCAAGAAGAGAAGGAGACTTGCCTTCACAGACCCCCATGTTTGTGGATGGCCCCAGGACTCTGATCGTTGGGCAGTACAACAGGGGCACCATTGGAGGACAAGTCAGGGCTCCTTGCAAAGGCAAGTGCAGCTGGAGCCAAGTCCCTCTGTCTCTGCACACCTTGATGCTGTCACACTTCATCCTCTGACCCTCTGGGATATCCTGGGGTCACCTCTGGTACATGGTAACACAGGATCTAGTGGTCTACTATAAATGTTTCTGACTAATAGACAGAGGAGTCTAAACCACAGTAACCCTGGGTAACCCTTCTAAATTTCCCAAGTGAACTTCATACAGCCTAGAAGGCATAGCCGGTAAAACAAAGAGTACAAATTAAGCTAGATGTGTCTATTGGCATCATATTTCTCAAACAGCTGCAGGTAGTTCTCACCCTGGCTCTCTCTTTTCCTATTATAGGTATGGATGTCCTCACTCAGGGACTCACCTGGAGGATGAAACCCAAACTGCTGGCCTTTGTCATGGGAGCTGCCAAAAGGGGACTTATCTAGCTGACTCCGCCAGTGAAAATAGTTAATACACTACAATACAGGCTGAAGCAAGGTGCAGAGGACCTTTGGCTCATCATTAGAAATATGCTTGGCCCTGGGGTCATGGTGCCAGTGGTAAAGAACCCGCCTGCTAATGCAGGAGACGTAAGAGATGTAGGTTCAGTCCCTGAGTTGGGAAGATCCCCTGGAGGAGGGCATGGTAACCGACACCAGTATTCTTGCCGGGAGAATCCCATAGACAGAGGAGCCTGGCAAGCTACAGACCATAGGGCCACACAGAGATGGACAAAACTGAAGTAACTTAGCACACATGCCTGGGGTCACTAGGCCCACCATCTCACCCTGTGATAAACAACCATATCTGGCCAGTGTTAAAATTGGCAACCAATGAAAGGAGATTAACAACTGACTATCAACATTTAAATGCACAGATTCCCGCCACTAAGGCTCTCATTGCCAATATTATAGTAATGATATAACAGCCAAAGGACTCAGGGTCTCTCCTTTGCTATCCTAGACTTAATTAACATATTTAACCTGGTCCCACAGCCTCAATTTGCTTTCAGTCAGGGTCCCCTGTAGACATTTACTCAGCTGCCCATGGATTATCTGAATAACCCTGCCACTATGTAACCTATGCAGACAAGATCTACATTTGCTTAAACCAACCCACTGCTGCCCTAACATCCTATAGATCAGAGGTCCCTAAACTCCAGGCTGCAGACCAGTACCTCCTGTCAGATCTGCAGTGGCATTAGATTAGAAATACAGTGCACAATAAACGTAATGTGCCTGAATCATTCTGAAACCATCCCCTCACCCCAATCCATGGAAAAACTGTCTTCCACGAAATCCATACCTGGTGCCAAAAAGGGTGGGGACCACTGCAGACGATAGTCTACTAGAGGGGGCCTCTGCGGATGCCATCTCGGGAGACATACCTAGTAATGCAACACTTACAGCAGAGAAGATGGGCCCTTGACCCACATAAAATCCAAGAACTGACCACTTCAAGTCAAGTTTCTTGACATGATGTGGTCGGTCAGCTGAGGGCCAAAATATTCCTCTGACTGTAAAATATCAACTTCTCACAATCAAGCCTCCCACTACTTTACAGCAGGCAGAGCACACACAAGTTCTCTTTACCTTTGGGAGACAACACATTCCACACTTATCCACTCTACTTACTTCATGCTGTTTCATGAAAACTAGCTTTTACTTTTTTTTGTTTGTGATTGTTGTGATGATTTTCCATAGTTAGTGAAATGATATGTAGTGATCTGGTCACCAACCAACATGCTTTTTAGTACCTTTGCTTCTCTGTAAGCAAATGCTGCATTAAATTGACCAGGCACTGGTTCTTGATAATGGAGGAACTGGCATTTTTTATTCTTGGTATGGTTGCTGCTGTGTAAAGTTAAGGCCAGGCACAATGGAACGCAGGAGTTTGACAGGTCCAGATAAATTGTGTTCCTTTACTGCTTTTTCTTTTCTTTTTCTTTTTTTGCTTTTTCTTTTCATCATCGCTATTACCAATGGGAGACTCAAACAGTGGCAGAAGATGTTCATGGAAATTGTGTTTTGTCTTCCAGAGATAGAAGCTCTGTGTAAAAACTAGCTTTAAAAAAAAAAAAAAAAAACTAGCTTTTCTCAACTGGGGAGAACCTCAACAAACTGCATGTTGCCTGGTCCAACAAGACATGCATCAGGCCCTGCCCTCAGTCCCTCCAGGCTCAGACCGCCAAGTCAAACCACTATGAATACCTCACAGAGTCTCTAGACTGAGTATAGCTCTACATAACTGTCCATGGAGTTCTGGACCAAACGTCTGCCCCAAACTGCATCTGGTTACATAAACACTCAAGCACAACATTGTGGGAGTCTACTGGGCCTTTTTAGAGACAGTAGCATTAATAATCTCACAGCTTTACATACAAGTCCCCATGCTGCCTTGGGTTGGAAATTCAGTACAAAGGCAGCTCAGCATGGCCACTGAAGCCTCCCTGTTAAAATGGAATGGTACCTTCAGGGAAGACTTAAACCTGATGTCCAGGGCATTTCCAAATTACAGGAGGCCATGGCTTCCTACATACTCAGCCCCTTGCCCACTGACATTGAGGTGCAACTAGTGGCACCCTCTGCCAGCCTCTCTAACACTTTGGAGAGCCCCTTGGGATAGAACTATCTGACATGGAAAGGGAGTGGGTGATCTTCACTGATGGCAGCGCCACCACTGTATACAACACAGCCCACTAAAAGGTCACAGCCTGTTATCCTGCTAGTGGCATCTCCCTAGTCCAGAAGTGCTCTCCTGGCTCAGCCCATCTGGTGGAGTTGGTGACAGTATGCCTGACTCTACAATACACCGTGAAAATGAGACTCCCAAGGGTATACACTTTTAACTGGCTCCTGGGCAGTATTCAACAGGCTCACTGCCTGGTCTGGACAATAGCAAAGGGATAATTTCTTGATTCAGGGAAAGCCTGTCAGGGTGCCTCCACTCATTAAGAGATGATCATGCTGAATATGGTCACTCATGTCTTTGCCTGCACAAGCCAGAAAACAAGAAGCAAATTATAACAATACTGCCACTCTCTATCCAAATTACACCTGTTCCAAGGCCCCCAATAAGCCATTTCCCAAAATACCAGGCACAGTCCCAGACACAAGAATTCCTCCAAAGATGTCATATCCACTGACAGAGTGAGTCTGTATTCCATCAGGCCTTAAGGGAGCGACAGCACTCACTGATGGGCATATACAGCTGATCCTTCAACAATACAGGAGCTGGGGTGCTGACCCCCACAGAGTTAAAAATCCACCTATAAATTTACAGTCAGCCCTCCACATCTGTGATTTCAAACAACCATGGGTGGTGTAGTACTGTATCAACTGAAAAAAAATCCATGCATAAGTATATCCACACAGTTTAAACCCTTACCCTAATTCTAGCCAAGTTCAGTTGCTCAGTCATGTCTCTTTGCACCCCACGGACCGCAGCACACCAGGCCTCCCTGTCCATCACCAACTCCTAGAGTTTACTCAAACTCATGTCCATGGAGTCGGTGATGCCAGCCAACCATCTCATCCTCTGTCATACCCTTCTCCTCCCACCCTCAATCTTTCCCAGCATCAGGGTCTTTTCCAGTGAGTCAGTTCTTCACATCAGGTGGCAAAACTTTTGGAGTTTCAGCTTCAGCATCAGTCCTTCCAATGACTATTCAGGACTGATTTCCTTTAGGATGGACTGGTTGGATCTCCTTAATGTCCAAGGGACTCTGAAGAGTCTTCTCCAACACCACGGTTCAAAAGCCAAAGTGGTGGTTGATAATAGACATCTTTTCTCCAAAACAAAACTTTGGAAGGCTCCCACATGGGGTCATGAACCCCTGGACGACAGACCCTACTCACAAAGGCAAATTGATTTTAATTGCTGCTGTTCTCTGCTGGAATCATGAGTACAGAACCACCATCACCTATACCTTCATGGAACACCTACTGGTAGATTCCTATCATGTAATCTTCTCATTCCCTGTGGCCCACCAGACATCCATAAATTCAGATCAAGGTATCCATATCATCTCCCAGTTGTTCAGTTCTGGACTCTAGAACATAGAACCTTGGGGAATTTCCACCTGGTTCACCAGCCCCAGAAGGCTGCACTTACTGCAAGACACATGACCTACTCAAAGACATGGTCCGCAAGCTTCATAACAACAAATGGTCCCCAAATGGCCAAAAATTTTACCCCAGGCTCTAATACAGACTAAGTCCCAACCCCCAGGTCTCCAACGGCTTGACATCAACTACCAGTCTTCTTCAAAGACTCCCTTCCTAAGTACTCACAGGGAACCCCTCTCCTCTGACATCAGAGAGGATACCATTCACATATATTCACCAGATGAATGCTCCCCTTACCATTTTAAAGAATCTAATCTGCCTGCAATACAGGAGGCCTAGGTTCAACCCCTGAGTTGGAAAGATCCCCTGGAGGAGGGAATGGCTACTCACTCCAGTATTCTGCTCTGGAGAACTCTATGGACAGAGGAGCCTGGCAGGCTACAGTCCAAGAGGTCACAACGAGTCGGACATGACTGAGCAACTTTCACTTTCACTTTACCATTTTAATGCTTCTATCATTTCATCTTTCACATGCTGGTAACCCAATCGAGGGCA